GGCCTCCCAAAGTGCTAGGATTACAGGAGTGAGCCACCAACTAACTCACTTTTGACCACCTCTCCGGATTACTTTGTGCATTACAGCCAGAATGAGGTATTCAAATGAAACTCTGGTCATGTCATTCCCTCTCACTTTCTTAAAACATTTTATTTGTCTACATCAGAATTTCTTAAACTCACTCAGCACTAATGACATTTTGGACCAGATAATTCTTTTTTTTTTTTTTTTTTTGAGACAGGGTCTTCCTCTGCCACCCAGGCTGGAGGGCAGCGACACAATCTCGGCTCACTGCAACCTCCACCTCCCAGGCTAAAGCGAGCCTCCCACCTCGGCCTTCCAAGTAGCTGGGAACACAGGCACACACCACCATGCTGGGCTAATTTTTGTATTTTTGGTAGAGATAGGGTTTCAAACCACGTTGCCCAGGCTGGTCTTGAACTCCTGGCCTCAAGCGTTTCTCTCACCTCAGCCCCTCAAAGTTCTAGGATTACAGGTGTGAGCCATCATGCCTGGCATGGACCAGATAATTATGCGTAATGGAGAGCTGTCCTGTGCATTGCAGGATGTTTACCAGCCCCACTAGTATCTACCTACTAGATGCCAATAGGACCCTCACCAGTTGTGAACATCAAAAATATCTCCAGACAGTGCCAAATGTCCCCTGGGGAACTTAATTACTCCCAGGTGAAAACCACTGGTCTATGTCAATAACCAAAATCCACAGCATGACATACAGGAACCTGCATGCTAATCTGGCCCTGACCTCCCTCTCTAGCATCATCTGATTTGACTCTTCCTCTTGCTCTTTGTCGTCTTCAACCATACAAGTTCTTTTTAAGTACCTTAAATGTATCTGCTCTGTCCTGCACAAGTGTTTGCCCATGCTGTTCCGTCTGTCTGATAATGTTCTTCATCTATCCATTTCCCTACTTTTTGCCTAGGTGACTTCAACACATCCTTCAAATTCCATTTGAAGAATCGCCTTCTCAGAGCATCTTTTCTGACCCCTTTTAAGAAGTCTGAATCCTTTGCTACGTGCTTTTATGGAACAACAGGCCTTTATTTCAAACCTACTATCTCCTTTTGTAAGTGCGTATTCATTAATATGATTGTTTCTTTGCTGTCTATTTCTTTCTCTAGACTCAAAAGCTCTGTGGACAGGGGCTGGGCACCTTGGTATTCTCAACACCTAGCACAGTGGCAGATACACAGTAGAAAGTTGATAAATACTTGTTGAATAAATGGCTGTGCCAGAATCATTATATTTAATGGATGTTATAATTTTAATGAATGTACCATGCATGATTTTACCATTCTGAGTTTGGGAGTCGATTTTGAAAGCTGTTGAGCTAATAAGAAAGTTTCTCTGATACCTTTCAGAAAAGGCAAGTCTTTCAGAGTTTCGAGCACAGGTGTGATGAACCAAAACTTAGGTTTAAAAAGATCCATCTAACCATGCAAGTGAAAGGAAGTGGAAGCAGAGAATTCAGTTAGAAAATCATTTAAATCATCCAGTTATACAGTAAAAATAAATTTGGGTGGGTGGTGATGGTGGAACCAAAAAGAAATAGAAATTATAACAGAAATTGTGAAATTGTTACTAGAACCTACTGATGTGTAGGATTTAGGGGGAAATGGACCAAGGCAGAACAATCTAGAGACAAAACATTCACTCTGTATTTATGAAAATGCCACTGATCATTCAAATAAGGAAAAACTAGATAGCTTTTCTACATCAAAGTCTATCTTGACTTGCAAAGTAGTCAAAAGAGCAATGGAAGTCATTTTTAAAGCTTCAAGGTCATGAAAGAGTCCACTAGTATCTTCTCCATGTGCTTTTTGGTTTTTCTTTCATTTTGGTGTTTTTGAGTCACCCAGGTTGGAGTGCAGTGGCACAATCAGGGCTCATTGAAGCCTCAAACTCGGGGGCTCAAGCCATCCTTCCTTCTCAGCCTCCCAAACTGCTGGGATTACAGGTGTTATGTCACCATACCTGTCCTCAATTTGCTTCTAAACAGAGAGTGGAGCCAATATTCCCAAGTAAGGTAATCCTTACCTGACAGAGTTGAAGCAGTTTTCCTGGGCCCCGGGTTTAAAGGTGAGAAGGGATGGCTGTCTCACAAGTATGTCAGGCTATATCCCAAAGCCTCATTTGTATTAGAATTGTGGCTGATGGGGATCTGTACCACCTCTATTCCTAACTTCTGATAGTAGTCCCAACCTTGCAAACAGTTACAGGCGATATACATGTAAGAGAAAAAATGTTTCTCCCAACTATAAAAGGTGTGGCTTCATCAGACTTCTCTTTTTTGGATCCAAAAAGCAAAAAGAGTTCTGGTTCAAATAGTGTTTGACAAAGAAGAGAATGCTTTCATCAATGCAAGTTAAAAGCCACAAAATTCTGCCTAATAAAGATATTCAATACTTCTTAGTTCACATACGCATGTTTATAATTTAAGATAATTTAATTTTTATATAATTTAAGATTATAAATCTGTAATTTAAGATTATAATTTTATATTTTTATCTAATTTAAGATGATACACAGACCAAGGTATTGACTATAAGATATGATTTCAGGCATTTTGAGAGTAGATGCCCTATGTTTGATCTGAAAAATATTCTGGATGGAGTCTGTGTTCCCACTGTTAGCATTAGAAATGTAAAGGTATACATGAGTCTTAATTTTTCCGGCAGGGTCAGTGGCGTAATTTATATTTATTCTCATATTAGCTGCACTAATTTATAAATCCTAAAATTAAGATCCATACATAATAACTGGTATATAAATAAACATATAATAATCATATTATTTTCTATTATTTACATTTTAAATTATTCATTAGGATTCAGCTAATCGAGCTAATTTCATTTGTAGGTGAAGACAAATTTGGTTCACTTGCACAACCAACCAAAATCCTGAGTAGAATTTTAGCATTTATAGACATGTTAAGATTTTGTTAGTTCATATGGAATCTGCCTAAAAGTATTTTCCCATCCAGCATGTTGAATTACAGACCATCAAAACTCTCTTTTACTATCTCGTAATGCAACAAACAAAGCCTACTCTTGTTTGTTACCTAGCTCCTATTGGTGACCCTGAAAAGATCAAATTACATCTGACTTTGTTGTTTTTCACTGGTGGTATCAATTCTCTTAGTGACAACTACATAGCGCTGCTATGGTTTCTGCTTTCACTCTTAAGGGGCTAAATAGTCACTAGGTTGCCTAAGAGATCCAATAGTAACCCACAAGGCACAAGTAGAAATTGCATATGCTCATCTTTCTTTTTCATTCAAAACTAACAACTTCATGAAGGTTTCAGAAAAATGTCATAGAGTCAGACGTCTAACATCATGGCAGTTTGAAGAGAACAGTGGTTCTATCAGCAAAATGTCAGGGAAGATTTGCATGGTGAACCTCCAACTCTACTTCAAGGGATGCAATTAGATAAATATGCTAGATTTGGAGACTTGATCTGAAAATGTAGCTGCAGTCAGTTCCTAAGGACTTTTGAATTTTAATATTTATGAAATACATTAATTTTGTCAAACTAGGGAGAATCAGACCGAAAGAGCTGTCATGGTTCCTCACTTTGGCAAGCTAAATCATAAAGAAGGATTACTACCTCTGCCACTGTTTTCCACATGGAGACCAGATCTTCTTTTGACTTCTGGGTAGCCTCTCCTGTCTCCACAAAAGTTCATATTTACTATATTTGACCTCTGTACCCAGCACTCCCAGGCTTCTCTAAGTACGCACCTATTGTAACATCAGATGGGATCTTTCTGTCTCCCTTTGCTCCCAATAGTTTTAAATTAGCTGAAGTTAACATATTTAATTGAGAGTCACATTATAACATTGTTCTAAACACTTTGTCTTAAATTACATAAGACAATACTGGAATTTTAATTTTTCAAGTAACAGATCATCTTGAAAGAGGTTACAGTCAATTGTTTAATAAAGTGAGTCACTGAAACTTTGAGCTCATTGAGGTCATTTTAAGCTATATTCCATGAAACTCCAATTAGTTCATTCAGTGCATATTTATCAAGTCCTACCATGTATAAGGCACTGTGCACCAGAACAGATAGAGGTTTATGGAGCTCCAGTCTCATGATGAAACCAATACTTCAGAATTTGCATTCAATTATAAGCAGATAATGAAGACCTTTTTTAAAAAAAATATTTGCTTTATTTGATACAAGCTCTCTCATCCCAACCTTCTACTGAGTTATCTCTTTACCCATGCATATTAGTATTTGATAAAGGAACTCATTTCTAAGATCTTTATATGGTGGAATTCATGGTGTCATGGTTAAAACAATGGTCTTTGGTGTCAGATACATCAGAATGCACTGCTGCTTCTGCCTCTTACTAGCTTTGTGGTATTGGAAAAAAGCCCTTAATCACTCTGAACCTCAGTTTTTCCATCTGTAAGATAGAAATACTTATTTTATTTATCTTGGTGACATCATGAGGATAAAATGAAACAATCTGCATGGAACCGTTAGCATATGCCCTCACATGTAGTGGACCTTCAGTAATAGTTTTTATTATAATGAAGGACAGTTTGAGTGAGGAAAATGTGCATTATGCGTTTGGTAACCAATATGACTTAGCGGTACTGGTAGATACAGTGGCAGAACTCTCTTCCACTGATAAGAAAAAAAAAGTATATTTTGATAGAACCAAAGGAAGCAAACTATCTAGATCTAGAGCAAGGGGAGAGCTGTGGTGCTGGGGAGAAAGGAGCATGAGGAGTATCTTAGCTGGGGTTCCACTAAAAGCAGAGCCTGAGGCAAGGAATAAGATGCATGTTAGTTTTCTCTAGAAATAGAAGGGAGGAAATAGACAGAATAGGAAGGGTTGGAGGAAAAGCCAAATAATGTTCCTGAAGAGTACCTAAGATTCCTGCTGTTAAAAAGAGGACCTCTGAGAATGCCTAGTGCTTCTCAGAATTGCCTGTTCAAAAGATTGGTGGCTGGAATACTTACCACATAGGTAATTGCCCCAGCAGGTGTTAGTTTCCCTATATTCCCATGCTAGGCCTGAGGAATCATGAAGCAGACTTCTGCAGCTCTAAAGAAGGCAAAAGTTGGGGTGATTCACAAAGAGTTCTGGAGGTAGGGCAGCCCAGGCCCAGCCTAGATTTCCTAGGAACTGTTCACTAAAGCTATAGTGAAATCAGAAGGGGGCATGGGGCTCTAAACCTCTCGTCTACAAACAGTCCTTCTGATAAGCCATGGAAAGCATCAAAAAGTGGAAAACAGTACTAGCAAAAGTGAATGCTGACCCCAAAGATAAAATAGATTTTGGTTTTCTGGAACCTTTGACTTAGTTTCTAGATTATTATTAATCTAGCCACTAGATTATTGTGACCAAAGTTAAATGAAACAAAATAAAAGTCCAAGGACATAGAATCTTTCCCCTCCCAGAATTTCTTACTAGGGTTAGAATCAGAAGTGTTTTAAACATGGCTACCTAGACAGTCACAATACTACCACAAAATAGATGTGGCTTCACAAATGTAATATATCATTGCATCATTCAATTCTCTATGCCTGTAATCACCAAACACTCTAGTCAAAGCCTGATCAATGTAAGCTAGACTCTTCCATCTTCTCTAATGTCTCTATGATATTAGTCAGGCTGACATCACAGTATGCTGAAAATGACAAGTCACAACTTACCCTAGGAACATGATATGGGAAATTAAACTCAGCCTTAAGGAGCTAGAAAGCTTTTGGTTTCTATCTGAAGGGGGCAAGCTGGTTGGCCTATCTAGTCTGACAGTAAAAGGTAAAATCATTTAAAAATAATAATTTATAAGTAATTCAGTTACATATTCAATGCATGGCTATAATTTCTATCCAACCAAACTGCCACCTAAGGTTGCCAGATAAAATACAAACATTGCATAGGATATGCTTATCCCAAAAAATTATTTGTTAGTTTTTAGAAATTCAGATTGAATCAGGCATTTTTATTTACTAAATCTGGCAACCCTAGTACCACCTCCAAACATGAACAGAGAAAGAGCTGCTCATTAAAACAGACCCTGTGTTTTGGAATGATGTCCTGTAGGTTTTAGACATTCTAGAAGCGGCGATATTAATAAATTGATATGTGAATTAACTGTAATGATCTACATATTGTCTTCTTAGGCATGTTTTTAAAAACTTTTCAAGACATTTTAATAATTTATTTTGTCACAACATGGCCATTTGAAAAATTGAAAAAATATTGTGATGTTAAGAGGAAAATCCTATTTCAAATTATTTCAAATGAGCTTTCAAAACACTCTCATTTACTTGAGTCAAGTAAGCATACCATAACTTTAAATACATTTTAAGGTTAAAATGTTTTCTTGTTGTTCACTTAAATATTCTCTTATAAATAAAATTTAAATCAACTTGTAAGTCCCAGGACTGTTCTACAAAATTCTTTGATAAAGAGAAACAGCCAAAAACCACATGGAGAGTCACATAATTTTAGTTGCGAGATTCTTGTTCCAGTTCACCTTCCAAAACAATTTCAGTCAAGTAGAAATGTTCTGACAATCCTCACTTAGAATAGCAAATAATCCCTGCCTTTTCATTCATTCACTCATTACTTCTCCGAAAAGAGAATGTGCAGTTACCAGAATTTTAGACAATTGGTGCTCCAAGAGTGTTTTAAATGCAAACCTATAAGAGGAAAGTAAAAACAAATCAAAGTTAATTGTGACTGGCTGGAACAAAATACTTAAATCAATAGAAGGATGGCTCATCTGCTCATCATTTACCCATTACCTGGGAGACGAACACCTCCTGCTGTGCTTGATTTTTTGATACAGATTTACCATTGCCTGTATCCTACAGACACACGCTAAGGAAACCCAGACCTTCTTTGGCTCCCTTTCTCATTATCTTCTTTGCACTTAATAACCTTATTCATTCTTATTTTATTATTGCTTGTGTGCTCCTCTTTGCAAGGTAGGCCTATACCCACACACAAAATTAGAGCTTTAAAACCTTATAAAGAAGCTAAGGACCTTCCTGCAAAGCAGTCAGAGGAGGCCCCAATATCTGTCTATGAATTGCTGTCTTCCCTCAACTAATCATAATCTGATTATTATGATTTTCAGAAACCCCTCAAAATAGAATACTTCTTTCACAAGGCATTCCTTGGGGAAAAAAGTTTGTTAAAATATTAAGATATTAGAATAAAATGAAGAGAAATAAAAACCCTCTTATCTGGAAATATGAGGTAGTAAATTCTTTACTGAAAGGGCAGCCTTTAAACCCAGATACAGTGTCCAGGTGACAGATCTCAGGGAACAGTGATAGGCAGATACCTCCTCAGAGTTGGAGCCTTTGGGTTTAAAGGCCACAAATACTCTTTACTCTTATCGATAAAGACAAATTCATCTTGATCCCTATACTACCTCTCTGCAAATGCCCTTTACCATAGCCAAGTATCAAAAAGTGGAATGTAAAATGTACCTGCAATTGAAAGTTAATACCTATCCCTGAATTAAGTATAGACCAAATTTAGATATTTCCACACAAGATGATTGGGCTGATACATTACTTTTTCAGACAATTGTACAAGTGAAAATCTTGCGGCTATATCCTAGTAGTAGTGGTAGCAGCGATGATTTCCAGGGGGGAATAAATGACGTAAAAGAGCTCTAATTTTTCTTACACTATTTGACAATTAAATGGATGATGTGTAACTACTACCACCACATATTTACTAACAATTAACTTCTGTTAGCTTTCTAGCTATGGTACATTTCTAAATATACCATACCAAAGTACATTTTTACTTGTACATATGGATTAGCTAATACAAGACTGTAGAGATGTCTACATATGAATAGTAAGTGAACTGATGCTGTTACATTTTTTAGCCAAGTACACCCAAATAGGCCAACCAACCATATGAAGATTAGAAATACAGTTTCCATTTTAATATTGGAGTACAAATATAAATGAAAAAACCTAGGAGCACATTGATACGACAGAGGAAAACAACAGCATAGTGCAGAGGATGGAAATTATGATGGTGTACAGAAGGAAAAAGAATAAGGAAAAATCTGATACAAGTGATAGTCAGCTTTAGCCTTTCAAATTGACTCTTGGCTTCTATTCCACAACCACTTCCTCAGTGTGACCATTTTACTTATTTATTTATAGAAAAAGACATTCATAACCAATAACAGGATTGTAATGATAGTAAATGTAGGATTTATGATACATTTAAAAAAAAAAACACCTTTAACCAACACTAAAAAGCCATGAAGGGCTGGGGTGGAGGGTAGTTACCTAGCTCGGGTTTTATTTAGTGACGGTTCCACTTTTTCACTCACTGCCTGCAAATCAGCATTTTTAGTGGACAAAGGACTCAGCAGCGGCCTTATGATTGCTTCTTTTCAAATGGTAATGGCTATCCAAACTCCTCTGCCAGGTTTTTCTTACCAGAGCACAAATTGCAGTTTACAAGGCTCTGAGGGGGAAAAAAATCTTAGCTGAATATCTTTTTTTTTATTCGACAAACTGACATGTAAATTACCCTTTAAGTGCTCCACTCTAGGGCTCTGATCATCTCCTAATTGTCACAGTCAATTGTAGCCAACAGTCTCTTCAATCCCAAGCGCTTTGACAACAAGCACAAGGATCAAAGCAGAATCAGCTCCCTGCAATATCCTTCTGTTTAGGATGCTACAAAACGCCTGCAAAAGAAAGGTGTAAGGGCATTGCTGTAGAGGAAACTGAGAGTAGCAAGTATTACAATAGTCATTTTCTTCATCTCTAAAATTATGCTGTATAAGCTGCCATGATCTTTAATCACATGTGCAGAACAAATATATAAACCTCCCGGGCAATTAATATGCTCTTAAGATAATACTAATAATCAAGCTTTGCAAACAACACCGTCTCCATGGCTTAGGAAAACTATGACACCGGTGTAGGAGAGCAATCATTTCATAGCAGTTTGAGCATCAAAAACTATTGTCAAACATACTCCACATCTGAGCATAAATTCTAAAGCAGTTTTTATTACTTGGTTTGGTGTCAGGATTCACTGCTTCTCCAAACTAAATAGCCCACTGAAAATTCTACAGTTTCTTAAAAATTAACCTAGAAATGTCCAGCTGGATATGTGGCACCAAATCAATTAAAAATGTGACACAAAAACTAATTTCAGAAGAATGGATTTTTTTGCCTTACCAGAGGTAACTCTGTCTTACTGCTTTACTGGGAACAAACGTATTAAAAGTCATTACATGTCTAGAAACATAATTCCTACATAAGATGTAACTATTGGGATTATTACTTTATAAAATATATCAATTCTTTCCAACTAAGGTGGTTATAATATATCACTAACTTTAGGAAAAGAATACTTATGTTTTTCAAAAGTTAAATAATTTCATCTTATGACAATATAATTAATAATTCAGTAGAGAGAAAAATCTAATAACAAATCTGTATAAAATAGCTACTTTAAAAATAGCCTAAGAGTTGTCAGAAAAGTGACAAATGGAAAGAAATCAAAGGTGCATTTGATACTCCCCTTACAGCTTGTCTTGTTGTACCCAGGTATTATGCACATACAGCATGTAAGGTCATATGTTGATTGACAGCCTTCCTAGGCTGAAGAAAAGAACTGAAAAAAGAGGCAGCACAGGGCAAATACCTCAGGTTCCTTTCTCAGCTAGTTCACTCAAATCCCCCTGTAGGGGTTTCCAATCCTCCCCTCAATTTCACCTTGAATTCTCTAGTTTGATTGAAGAGCTTCACAGAAGGGTCTATTACAGATTGAGGAATGATCCATTTCACATCTGAAGCTCCAAAGAGCTACTTGTGAGGAATCTTTGAGTGCATTTATCTCACATGTGAAGCTTTCTACAAAATCAATATGGGTATTTTTCAGTTTGACAAGTCAACATGAAATATCACATAATAATAGAAAAACAGAGTTGTACATTTAAACACAGCCAATACAGTTATCTATGACAAAGCTTATAGTTATTGCTCATGGATATTCTTGAGTATGTCTAATCTAAATTCATCCTGATGGCTGGGCTAAAGAGCGTAGAAAGTGTAACTGATTGGTCATCATATTTCTGGCTGTTCTGTCCTAATTAATCCAGGTTTTGTGGTGAGGGCAGAGAATGGGCAGGAATCATGGCCTTTGCTTCTAATGTGAGATTTATATGGTAAGTGGGAAGAAACTAACCAAAGGTGAAAAAAAAAAGGAAAGAAATAGAACAAAGGAGAAATATTTCTAATAATTCACATTTAACTAATTGGCAAAACTGGGTAAAATGATGACCCAAAGAATGGCAACCATGTCTCAAATCCCCACCACAACTGAGGCAAGTACTAGCCGAATCATTGACATATTTGTGAATAAGTGATGTGTTTGTGTTGGGGTCTGACAATCTTTGGGTGAATTCCAAGTTTATTTTACCATCTGCATAAGCTTGAGGAACATGATTTCTCATCTCCAAATCTGTTTTTTCATTTTGAAATGGGATTAATCATAAGACTGTATCTTAGACGTTTTCATGAGAGTTAAACAAGATGCTGCCTAAAGCACCTGGCACATAGAGAACGTCTCACTGTTAGAAATTATTGATGAAATTATTATAGCTCTGTTGAACCCATTCACCAAATCTCTAGAGTTCTAACCTGGTGCCACTTCTGTCCCCCGGGACCTTTCTACATTGTTTGGTGTTCCCAAGTGGTAGATGACAATTCTGGTCAGAGTATGCTCACTGAATTAGCTCTGGTCCTCATAGAGGAGTGCAGCGCTTGTCTTAGAAACAATCTTCCTCTTGCCAGGAAGGCTGTCCTCATCAACCACGTGGGAGAAAACCAGATGGGAATGTGAAAAGGAAAAAGGACTCGGGCATAGAGTCCAAATCAGCTGATCAATCCAGGCAATGAATGAGGTGAGAGATGGAAATAAATGTCACATATAGTTTTTCTTCATATGGCAGTATGTTATAATTAATAATGGAGTTATCGCTATATACCCCCATGAAAGACCTTAAAAACAAACAAAATAAACAACCCTCAGGAGAAACCCAGATCTAGTTAAATAACTATTTATTCCTCTCTGTCACATTTTCCAGTAACCTAACACTATGTAATACTTGATTATCTGTGCTTAGGCCAACTAATTTGTAAAATAATTGAAATATATTTTGAATTTTTTTAATTTAAAATTTTAATTTTGGGTTAATTCTCCCCACCACTCAGAATAAATCCAGAGTAGACAAAATATGTGAGTTCATGAAAATTCATGTTAAAAATAAAATAAGAAAAAATGTCATTATAAAGTATAATTGAAGTTAAAAACTTTTATCCTATATTCCAAAGTCAAATAACTAAATATAAATGACTTTGTGTTTAATTAATTCAAACAATATGTATCAAGGAATTAATATATATGATATTGCTAATTTTTGCTACCCTACTGTTCTCTGTTATTAAAATTAAGCTACAGCTTTCACTCCAAAGACAAATTAAAATATTTTCTTATATGCTGATATAGAATTACAAGTACAAATCGAAATAATTTCCTACTTAAAAAGGGTCATTTCTTTAAAAATGTATTTGATTTGGGTTCAAAATACATCTTTACAAGGAAACAAATTTATAATCATTAAGTTCCCCAATTGACACATAAAAACATGTTACCATAAAATGTACCTAAAACACACTTATAATACCAAGTTATGAGCAACTCTAGGTCATGAGGTCTATAAATAAATTTAACCCTGTGAAAGCTTAGGGAGTATCACTGGGCATTAAGTTTACAAATTTTGGCACATACCAGGCAAGAGATCAGACAGAGGAATGGATCAGTTATGAGTCCAGGTTATCACCATTCTTGTCACCATCACCATGTCAACATCATTATCATTATCATACTATATTTCACCCAACATATTAGTACAGGATAACTATCAAAATGATAATGGTAGGTAGCCAATAAGATGACATCTCATCATCTTGTATTTTTAAGTGAGTAGAAATGAAGTGCACCAGGATGTCAGAAACTTACTATACTCTCTCTGGCACATAAATGTCTTCCATGATTTTTATATTTACCAATCAAGACCCTCAGCATTTTTAATGTACTTTTCTTTAAGAAAATAAAGGCTCTAAAATAACAGCCCACATTTCAACATCTCCAACTTTTAGATTTTGCCTCATACTATGGCAAACCAGACTCCTTAAGCACAGCTTTGAAAAGTCTTCGAAAGGAACTAGCATGGGACCTGTTTAACATTTTCCTTAGCATTCTGGTAGTACCACAATACTGAAGTGAGTATTTGCCTTAAAAAAAATCTTGATGGAAAATAATTTTACAACTTTTCTCAATTGTGTATTTTTAAGTTTATCTTCCTTCATTATCGGGGGTTTTCTGCCCTATCCCATTTCTGGTTTTGATTTTAATTATAAACCTTACTACTCAAAACTATCAGTAATATCTATCTTTCAGGTACTTCAAGTGTGCCAGTAACAAACCTCATGTAGTTCAACTAATAAAAATGCTGACTATGGTCAATCATTCCTGCCATTTGTCCATACATTTCAAGTAAGCACACACTATCCCTATGGTTTGCAATCTACCTAAATGACCTCTGTCCTCATCATGTTGTATCAGAAAACACATGCATACCCTCACTTTAAATGAAATTAAGCAGAGGCTGGGAAGGAGGAAGAAATGGGGAGTTATTGTCTAATTTTTGGAGTTTCAGTTTTGTAAGATGAAAAGGTTCTGTAGATCTTTCACATAGCAATATGCATATACTCAACACTACCAAACTATATACTCAAAAAAATGGTTAAGATGGTGAATTTTCTATTTTTAACTATAATTTTTTTTCACAAAAAACTAAATAATGTAGTCAAACTGCTTTTAAAAACTCATTCATTAATTCAATAATAAATGAATAATTATGGAACATCTTTTACAAGCTGAATTAAGGATATCTTGTTATTTAAGTGTTAAGCAGCCAGGATCCTAGATCTCATCCCTAATTTCTTTCCTTTGAAAATGTTGCCTGGGAAATTGTCTCTAGAGTTTTCAATTCCAAATCAACTAACATATGACTTGACATAGGATAAACTGCACATGAAAGTACAGGTCAAAACTAAGTAAATTAATGAGACTCCAATTATACAATTTCACTTCTCTTCTGAAAGATTCAAAGAGTGAAGCACAAGAAAACCACCACGCCCAGGTGCTCTGTTCTAAGGCTGCAACTACCATACACTGTTACCATTTAGAATCTCATAATTTCACTGACTCTTCAGAGGACCAAGCAAAAGTTGAAGCTCATTGAGACAAAAATACTTGAGCCCAAACCAAACTAGTTTTCAGTGGTTTCTCCATTTTTGTAACAGAAGTTCCACGGTACCTCACTGCTCATTTTCTTTAGGGTTGCTGATTCACATGGTTAGAAAGTATCTTTAATATTTTAACCTGGTTAATTTTTTTATGGTCTTTAAAGAAGTTACATTATAAAATAAAGATTTTTCAGGATTAAAAGTCATAATGCTTTATTGTTTTGGTTTTGCTATGGTTGTTGTTAACAAGCTGATCAAATTTATATTTGTCCCACACAAAGTTAGGACACAGAAGCTTCAAAAGAAGTAGACAAAGGTGGGGCTTGGTGGCTCACACCTGTAATCCCAACACTTTGGGAGGCTGAGGTGAGTGGATCACGAGGTCAGGAGTGTGAGACCAGAGTGAAATCCCTTCTCTACTAAAAATACAAAAAGTAGCTGGGCATGGTGGTGTGCTCACCTGTAGTCCCAGCTATGTGGGAGGCAGAGGCAGGAGAATCTCTTGAACCCGAGAGACAGAGGTTGTGGTGAGCTGAGATTGTGCCACTGCACTCCAGCCTGGGAAATAGAGTGGGACTCCGTCTTAAAATAACAAAAAAGGAAGAAGAAGAAGTAGACAAAATAGAACCAGAGTAGCTTACGGAAACTAATGTCTTTAGAATCCTGCCTCATATACACAGAATGAAATCAATCAACAGCACAGGCAGATACTTTCCTTTTTAATGTAAGATCCCAGGGAAAAAATGATGGGATAAAAGTTAACAGACATGGTGCACTGATTCAAAAATCTATTTTAATTTTTTTTCTGCATTCACATTCCAATCATTCTGTGACCTAACCATTTATTTTTAACATTTTTTTCTTACAGTCTGCATAGCTTACTAGTTTAGGGGTAGCAGAACCTTGAGGGCTGGTGTGAATTCAAGTTTTGTAGTAATACTAATAGTTTTAATAATAACAGTTACCTCTGACAACATCTCTCAGGCAATTGTATCATTTCCTTAGAACAATCATGTGAGTTTAGTATCTATATCTCTTTGAGATATAAGCAAACTGAGACTTAAGAAATTGAATAACTTGGCCAAAATTGTACACTAAAAAAATGCCATGCTCAACTACAAAGCTTTCCTGCATCTTGATGAATTGCCATAAGTGTAGCTTCATGTCAGTGTAGATTATTTTTCCACCTGATCTATTACAAACCCTTTACTCATCTTCTTGATAACCAAGCTCCCTCTCACTTTTGGGATATTCTATTGCCCAATCATTTCTGAATAGATACCGTATCTTCGACACAGTCACTTGTTTTGATTGACTCTATGATTGAACTAAATGTAGTCATCAGCCAACATGGTCATCGACTATCAGCAGCAGCTCCCTTTGTTCCACTGCTACCTCATGGGCACCAAAGCATGACTCACTTTTATGGAGTGCGTGTTGATCAAGCAACGAGCTTACGGATTGTTACTACACACAGCAACATCCACAAAGGCATGTATTTTGTAGTTTCCTTGAAGTCAAGACTATCATCACTAGTAATTTAGGGTATTCCAGAAGATACTAATACCCACTGCAAATACCATAATCAACACCAGTGAAGAACATAAAGACTAGCACAATGGACCTTTCCATTTCCCTGCCTCAGACCCTTTCCCTTTCCTCACACCTTTCCATGCCTAGGTGGGTATATTTGTGCCTTTCCCAATGAATACAAAGTGAGGACACACTCACAACAAGTTACTTGGGGCTAGTCTTGGAATTCAAGAATAGTGGGACTAGAACCCTAAAAACTCTCAACTAGGCCATAAAATTACATATGAGAAAAATGTGGTCCAAAGAAGTCTAATGGTTTGCCCAAGGGCATAAGCCAACAAATGAAAAAGTAAAGACTTTAAACTCCAAATACAGTGCATTTCTACTTATAAGACTGTCTTCAACAAAAGTCCAAATAACTTACTAGACACTTTATAGAGTATTTCATGTAATCCTCACAATGTTCACATAAGACAAAGATTATTACTCTTCCTACAAATGAAACAGATTAAGTAATTTAGCAAAATTCACATGGTTAGAAAGTGTCAGTAGCAGAGATCAGCTACTAACACCTTACTTGCAATGAAATGGAAGGGAAAGGGAGGGGAGGGGAGGGGAGGGGAGGGGAGGGGAGGGGAGGGAGGACAGAGGAGGAGAGGGGAGGACAGGGGAGGACAGGGGAGGACAGGGGAGGACAGAGGAGGAGAAGGGAGGGAAGGGGAGGTAATCCAGAAAGAATTATGACACTAGAAAGTGAGATAGTGATGGATTGATTTTGAGATTAGAGAAGAGAAAGTTGTGAAATAAAGGCCTGGGAAATTTATTTTAAAAACTAAAATAAAGATGTTACATAAACACACTTGTCTTTAACTTTATTGCTTTACAACCTCTTTTTTCCCAAAAGGGTTTAAGTAGTATTATTTTTAAAATGCATCCAATACAATAAAATAAAATAAACCTAAAGTAGGTGAATAAAATAAAGCCAGGAGAAAATGCAGTGATGTAAAAGAAACAAAATTCTTGCAAGGAAGCCTGATACACTTGCCAGAGGTAGGCTATAAATTTGAATCTGAGCTTTCAGACAGGCTACATGAAGAGGGAAACATGATCCATTACATGAACTGCAGCATCCCTAAAACAAATAACAAGCCATTTGTCCAGGAGAGACATAATTATTCCTGGTTATGAGACCACAGAGAAATTTGTCCCTGCAGCCCTCCTTGAGAAGGCACAGTAGAAAGCAGAAAACAGAAAGCCTCGACATATCCTCGCAACACACAGAACAACGCATCGTGCAGGGCTGTTTGTTGTACCTTTCCTCAGTGCAGCAGCCTTGCACTGGGGCAGAATTCAGCCATGGCAGTTCATTGAGGAGAGCATGCTGGTTGTCTCCAGGAAAGGGAAGAAAGGACAGGACTGTGTTGAATGGGAAGGATGTTGAAACCACACAGACACAGTGTGGAAGTCTTGCACAAACACAGCACAGCTAACCTCTTTAACACCTTTGCTGGAACACCACCAACCTATCTCAGTTTATGAGTCATCTAACCTCTTTCCACTTACTTTGCCAATCTTGTTTAGATTCGCTCTTCCTAACCTCCCCTGGTGCCAAGGAGGAACAGATCAAAACCAACAGCTTCTGCAACAAACCAAAGTCTCCAGTTGACCTGAGGAAAGTGATGAAGTGGGCAGATTAGGCAAGGTGAGGCCAGGAGAGCCGTTTCAACAATAGTGCGCTCAAAGACAGTGATAGTGCAGTGTGTCAAATTGGGGCTCCACCACTCAGGCTCAGCAGAGAGCTCCAGTGAATACAAGCAAACCTCTGCTACAAGCCTTTGCACTCATTCACTTATTCACTCATTTACTGAGTCCATAAATACTTATTACTAAGTATTATGGTTACATGGTGGGGATACACGAGTCAACAAGACACAAGTGACCCTTTCCTAATGGAGATTCTGCCTGAAGACATTCCTAATTGGGACAACTCGAGGAAGGAGAAGAGAGCTGGAGAATTAATTAAGGATTAAGGAGATCCTGCCATGGTTTCATAAAAGGCCATAGGAAATTTCATCTGGAAATTGGGAGAGCAGCCCTTCTTTAGATATTAGCTAAAGACCTTGGCCTTGCATTTCATTTCAATAGTCCATGCCTTCCAGTTGCCTCATCTATCAAGAAGGAAACTAAGACCTGCAACAAATACTTCATAGTTTCTTATCACAGAAAAAAAAGGAGTAAGGTGTGAAATCTAAAAGCATTCTAGAAGTAGTATCTCCCCAAATAGTGCACATTGATAAAATGGACCTTAAAGTTATTATACATCCTAATTGTACCTAAGTGTCTGTCATAGTTAGAAACATATTAAGAATACAAGATAATGAAATAAAAATGAGCAATTTATTCTATCTAAATACTAGACAACTATATTAATTAATAACATTTAATGGCTGGCACGGAAGGCCTCACCAAATTACAAATATAGTCCTTCTAGAATACTAAAACCATAATTAAGTGTAAGCTGAAATAGAAGCACCAGTGAACCCTTACCTGTTGATGTACAAACAATGTGATTATGTATAAGGAATAAAATACAATTTTAAATAGTCATTTCACATCATCAAGCAAAGTTCAGGACGTGCTAAGAAATAACTGTTCAAGAGAGAGCTGTGCCTTCTTCACCTGCAATTTCTTTAACTGAAACTGGAACTATTATCTCCCTTCCCTAACTCACTGGTTCTTGTTACACCAAAGAAATGTAGCCAACTGGAAATAATGAGCAGTTGTCCTGACTGTAGAGATTAAACCAATTTTAAGCATTTTTACATAAAGCACATATCACAAGATGCACTGCACAGCATTATTCACCTGAGGTCAGATTCTTACCGTTTCCTTTTCTAGATAGGTTAACAAGCACTGTGTATTTAAGAACTGAATTCTTCACCTTGAAAGTTATCTGATTGCATGTCATAAACAATTTGATTGAGAGTAAAGGCGATCCAGTTGTGGTGGTTCATGCCTGTAATCCGAGGGCTTTGGGAGGTCAAGGCAGGAGGATCTGTTGAGGCGAGGCAGGAGGATCAGTTGAGGCCAGGAGTGTGAGACCAGACGAGGCATCATACTACGATCCCATCGGCACAAAAAATAATCCTACTTCTAGGTGTCTATCTACCCAGAGGAAAAGAAGTCATTTTACAAAAAAGATACTTGCACACTCGTGTTTATAGCAGCACCATTTGCAATTGCAAAAATATGGAACCAACCCAAATGCCCATCAATAAATGAGGAGATACAGAATATCCTCTCATTTTATGGATATACATATTATACCATGAAATACTACTATATATTTATAGTTATATACATGTTAAATAGATACACACACACACACACACACACACACACACACACACACACCATGGAATACTATTTAACCATAGAAAATAATGAAATAATGGGATTTGCAGAAACCTGGATTGGAGACTATCACTCTAAGTGAAGTAACTCAGGAATGGAAAACCAAACATTGTATTTTCTCACTCATATGTAGGAGCTAAGCTATGAGTATGCAAAAGCATAAGAATTATACAATGGACTTTGGGGACTCTGGGAAAAGGGTGTGGTGGGTGGTGAGAAATAAAGACTACACATTGGGGCCGGGCGCGTCGCTCACACCTGTAATCCCAGAACTTTGGGAGGCCGAGGCGGGTGGATCACGAGGTCAACAGATCAAGACTATCATGGTCAACATGGTGAAACCCCGTCTCTACCAAAAATACAAAAAATTAGCAAGGCATGGTGGCACATGCCTGTAATCCCAGCTACTCAGGAGGCTGAGGTAGGAGAATTGCCTGAACCCAGGAGGCGAAGGTTGCGGTGAGCCGAGATCATGCCATTGCACTCCAGCCTGGCTAACAAGAGCGAAACTCTGTCTCAAAAAAAAAAAAAAAAAGACTACACATTGGGAACAATGTACATCGCTTAAGTGTACCAAAATCTCAGAAATCATCACTAAAGAACTTATTCATGTAACAAAATACCACCTGTTCCCAAAAAAATCTATTGAAACAAAATAAAAATATTAGCAGGCATAGAGGTACACAAATGTAGTCCCAGTTACTTGGGAGGCTGAAGTCAGAGGATTCGCTGAGCCCAGGAGTTCAAGAATGCAGTAAGCTCTGGGTGACAGAGCAAGGCTCTGTCTCCAAAAAAAAGAGAAGAAAGAAAGTAAAGGGCTAATTGGATACCTCACTTTCTAAAGTAGTATGATATCTATTTAATGCTTTTTTAGCATCCTTTAAAATATGCCTAATCTCTTACCTGTTCCCACTTAGTTTCCTGGATTCGAGGCCATTAAATGTCTCTGCAAACCCCAAGCACCATTATTTCTGGATATCAATTATATCAAACATTAAAATACACCCATGTCACACATTAAATGCAATCATTTTGCTGTAAAACTTTTGAAAGAATTTTTGTTTTTAAAACTATTTTTTGTTTCTGAAATACTTACGCCTCAAGTAATACACCAAATTTACAATCAGCTGTGATTTTTAAGCAATCAACATGCACATTTAAACTGTTTTCCAAATGTAACAACGATTTTTTATGAGTACTCTTTTTGGCGATGAATGAAGCTGACACAACATTGCATTTGTTTATATTCATTAATCTGAGTTTGGTACCTTTTGTCATTTGCAACCAATGTAATTATAATCAGACCTTAAATATTTTCTTAAGTCTATGAAACCTATAAGCTCCGGAGTGCTTTGGTTCTCAATGCTGGCATGGCCCCACTCACATCAGCCCCAGATAGAATTTTCACCAGAGACTGAGACTGAGCCACCAAAAACCCAACCCAGTGGCTGGGCATGTGAAATACTGCCTTGTCTTCTCTGGTTGAAATCTGGCACTGGCCAGTCTTGTGGCAAGCAGTCCACATGTAGACAGAGGGGATACGTTATCTGAGCCCTCAGAACTTCTCAATGCCTGGTAGCTACATTTGGCTCCTTGTTTGGAACATTTTTTTTTACATCTTTCAAATAAAATCCTTTCAAGGTCCAGTTGGATGTTAGAGGAATAATATGTAACTGACTACATTCCCTCTCATTCACACACACACACTCACAGCACTCAGAGGAAACAGTCTTCAGAATAGATACAATGTGTAGCTCTTAACATCTCATATTCAGTCTTTAGAGGCTTCTCTAAGGCAACTACTGCAGCTAATAAATAGCCCCGGATCCCCACGAGGAGTGAATTATGCTGGGGCCAGAAGTCTCCTAGTCCACCACTTCCAATGCTATAGACTCTCATAACTTTCTACGGTACCACTTTAAAGGTGAAATGTCTGGAAAATTTGGAAAATCGTGGGAGTAATTATGGCATATGCATATAATTTAAAATTCCATGGAGATTTTCAATATTTACAATTCTAATTTCTTTGTGGATGACATTAAATTTCTAAGGCAATGGCACCATTAATCCTTAAAATGTATATACCTTACATTGGGATCTGATGCTATGCCTCTGTAAACATCTCCCTAATCCAACCTCTCACTTTACATTTAAAATTGGTTGAGTCCCTATCTATGCCAGGGACCATGATGAATCCAGGTGAGTACAGCAGACCCAGTTCCTGGGAACAAAAAGGGCAACTATTGCTACCCACTGTAGTGTTTTATGTATGTGCTTCTACAAGACTAATTTAAGCCCATTTTACTGAAGTTCAATCCCATTGCTTTTTGTTCTGCCCACAGAGCAGGTAAATAGCAGCCAACCACTATCCTCTACAAGATAGCTTTCCTGATATTTGAAATACTCAAGTTCTTTTCTCTTGTTCAAAATAAACATTTTTCTGTAAAGAAAATAATGTTACATTTGATGTATGCAACAAGCCAATATAACTCCTTTGCCTCGTCATCACCTTGTCATTGATATAAAAATATGGAATATAAATTTTCAGTCACGTTGAAAAGATAAAGCAAAAGATAGTCCCATGTGATCAACCAGTTTCTTAAGCATTAATCTGTACACTAAACCTGATATTGCCATTCTAAGAAAATGCACTATAATGAAATAAAAATTTTGCATCACTGCGCTAGCAGAGGGAAAAATAACTAATAGTCTTTATTCCTTATGACTCATATCAGAGTGCCCTGCCCCCAAAGAAATCAAGACACACTGTCACTGAACCACATTATTATCCCTTAAGAAGACTATAAAATGTGTACATCTTTCATTCGTTGACATTGAACTTGTGCCAAAACTATTAAGAGCACATATTAATAGATATCCCAAACGTGTAGGAATGAATACAGAATAAAATACAAAATGAAATTGGCATTCACTACTAATTTGTCTTTTATAAATGATTAAGTAAAGCATTTGAAGGAAATAAAAGGGCAATAAATACCCTTTTATCGCAAACTGGGGGATTTCTCTTACTCCAGGCTTACATACAACCAGTTTAGAAATATGCATAATTGCCTATGGTCAACATCATATCACTGCCAGATCACACATTAAACAGTTAACCACTATTATTATAAAAGTGACTTCCTTGACCTCATATTTTGGTCTGGCTAGGAATTCCTGTAGTTTCCCAGATCGGCTGTTACACAGTGCCAATCTTGTGCTGTGCCTGTCAATTTGTACCAGTGTAAGTGACCGATGCCTCACAGAGCTTACTCTAAAACACGCTTATATGCATATGAATAGCATGAGTTCAAGAAATATGATCATAGTTGTCCTTGCAGTGCTTTTAAAATCTGAAGTCTATGTGTTGGTTTGTGTTGTTTTTTTTTTTATTATAGCTAAGGTACAGTGTGTGTTATTTGGCAGCTGAATTTGACATGAAAATATAAAAGGTTTGGGCAACCACATATTTGGAAATAGAAATCTTTCCTGAAAACATGGCTTTGGTTTTTAAACACAGCTAAATTTCTGGAAACTTCAATTTGTTAAAGACAGCCAAGACTTCAATCATATTTAACATATTCCTGGGGTTTACATATAGTGTTTCAAAGTAATAAACAACATCTTGTTTGGAGTAGCAGGAAGAAAATGAGGCAAGCACTTCTTTAGAGTAAAAGCTCTACTTTTAAAAATAGTTTGGAGACTCATTCTTATGTTGGTAAAATCACAAAACACTATTCAGCAAACAAAACATGATGAGCTCAATTCAAGTTGGTAAACATTTTTAGCTGGCTTCATTTGTAGTAAGAATTTTAATGTAACCATGACTTCAAGAATGCATCCCTTATAATGGAAACTTAAGGGGTAAAACTTTTTTTAATTGTTAATAAGAACAATGGTGTCAAATTTGCACTTGAAAATCAGAAGAGGTGTGATGACAACAGTAAATTGATTGTTTGAACAATTTTAAAAATCACATTACAGTGCACTAAAATGCATCTGCATTTAGTCACTAACACTCTCACTGCAATGACCAAAAAGCTTACAGGCTGGTTTCACCAGCAGAAAATATTCTCCCTCCTAAGGTAAGGTCTGTATATACCGTACTTCCAGCACGTGAAACTTGCATGCAAGCTGTAAATCCCTCATATGCTTTTGCCTCATTGGTCCAAACATAAGAGTGATGTCTAAAAACCCTTAAGTCACTTAGTAAGAATAACAAACACTTTCCAAGAAGCAAAACATGATGAGTCTAAATAAAACCATCCAAGGAAAGAAAGACATCGGGAGCTTTCTCTATGCTTTGTATAAGACGTCAGGTCAAATTTCACTTAACCATGCTTTCTCCTCAAACAGGAGCTCAGAAAACAGAACATTCTTCATAAGCATACTCATGGACACACATTCAGATAACGTATGGCAACTCATCTACTTAATAAACATACAAACATCTTGCTCCTGTGATTAATATTCCTTTATTTTGACTGCATGTTATTCTTAATTTTTAGGCAATCAATATTTTGATAGGTGAAACCTAAGAATTTATTTAAAAATTGAAAAGTTGGTGTCATGTTATGCTTCTTTCTCACCACCTGTGTTCAAAACCACTATTGAAGTGGACTTCAGAATAGAAAGGCTTTA